GAACCCTTTGTACGAACAAAAGTAAGAGAAATTTAGGATAAGAATACGAACATGTTCTTGCATGAGGCCCAATGGCTCCTCCTTCAGTTTTTCACAGACAACAGTCAAAGCAGCACAGGGGGCGAAACAGGAGGAACGTTATGCTTGACAAAACACATGGTACCGCCCACTTGACTGCCCATCCCTGTGTGATGACRTCACTTGTTCAAAATCAAACGGCTCATCAAGATCAACATCCCTTCAAAGAGCCATTTGTCCCATTTCCATTGAGCCCAATCAAACATCCAAATTGAGAGGATTTATTTATTTTTTTAAAAATGGCCAAGAAGTTCCAGTTTAGGTTTACACAGTTTGTAGCATCAAACCCAGAAAGACTGATTCAACTCAGAACTTCATAAAAAGTATAAATACTTACAACCCCAATTCTAATGAAGTTGTATAAAACATAAATAAAAACAAAGACATTGATTTGCTAATCCTTTTCCACCTATAGTCAATTGAATACTCTACTAAGACAAGATATTTAATGATCAAACAGATAAACTATTTTTTTCAAAAATATTCACAGGTTTTGAATTTGATGCTGCAACATGTTCCATATAAAGCTGGGACAGGAGCATGTTTTCCTCTGTGTTACATCAGCTTTCCTTTTAACAACACTCAATCAGTGTTTGTGAGTCTCTGTTGTTGTATTTTGTGCTTCATAATGCTCCACACATTTTCAGTGGGTCAGGTCTGAACTGCAGGCAGGTCTAGTGTCTGACTCCTTTACTACAACGTGCAGAATGTACTGTAACTTGGCATTGTCTTGCTGAAATAAGCAAAATGTCCCTGAAAAAGATGAGGTTTGGATGGCAGCATATGTTGCTCCAAAACCTGGATGWAGCTTTCAGTATTAATGGTTCCTTCACAGATGTTTAGGTTACCCATGCCATGGGCACWAATGCACCTCCATACCATCAGCTSGAGCCCAGAGATGCCGGCGGTGTTTCTGGATTTTTACATGGTAGAAATTTAACTTGAATCTGTAGATGTGAAGCTGAACTGTGTTCACTGATAATAATTTTCTGAAGTCTTCCTGAGTTCATGTGGTGATACAGCGGGTAAAATAAGTAWTGAACACGTCACCATTTTTCTCAGTAAATATATTACTAGAGGTGCTAATGACATGAAATTTTCACCAGATGTCRGTAACAACCCAAGTGATCCATAC